TGTTTTCTGGTTTGTCCCCAAAATGGTGCTAAGTATGACATGACAGTAAGCATAGACAGATTATTTTGAATTTGGTTTCTTGCTTGAAGAATTTGGCTGAATGATACAGGTGATAGAAATTATTTATTTTGCTCCGTATTCTTTCTACATGTTTGTCATATATTTTTTGCATTGTACCCGAATAGAAAAGAGCAGTATCGTCGGCAAAGAGTGTTAAGTTTCCAATTAGTTTCATGTTGGTCAATTTATTTATATAGATCAGAAAAACAATAGGTCCTAATACACTTTTGATGTCATTTATTGTTGTAGATTGCCTTCTTTCTGTAAGATAACTTTTGAAAACTTCAAGTGGTTTGCCTTTTATTCCAACTGATTTTAATCTGTTTATCAAAATATTGTGATCTACTACATCAAATGCTTTTTGAAGATCCAAAAAGCATGCCATCACTGTATGTCCATTATCAATCTTTGTATATACATATTTTTTAAACCTAAGGAGAATGCAATTTTTCGAATATTTCACTTAAATGTGCAATCTATAAGAAATAAAATCAACGAAATTGATCTATTTTTAGTAGACAAAAATTATGACTGCCTATGCTTCTGTGAACACTGGTTGACGGAGGCAGAGTGTAAAACACTATATATTAATAATTATTTGCATGCTTCCTCTTTTGCCAGAGGTGTTTCTAGAGGAGGCGGTGTTGTTATATTAACAAATCCCAATCTTAGATTTACAGCTTTAGACCAAATAAATATTCTGTCAATAGAAAAAATATTTGAAATAAGCGCTATTAAGGTAGATCATTTTTCACAACAATTTTGTATTCTTAATGTAAATAGATCCCCTTCAGGACGCTTTAATTTATTTTTAATTAATCTAGAATACGTCCTTCTGACACTTCAAGCAAAAAACATTATTTTAGTTGGAGATTTTAATGTAAATTTTTTATCAAATGACAAAAATGGTCCACTTTTAATAAACCTACTTCAAACCTTTGGGTTTAAACAAATGATCTATGATCCAAAAAGATTTAATAACTGTATTGATAATGTGTTAATGAATTTTCAAAAGGAGTCTAAAGCTTGTACAATAAATACCTGTTTATCAGATCATATGGGTCAATTATTAAGTCTAAATATAAGTATAAATACTTGTAACACAAAACCAATAACAAAAACATTGAGACAAATTAATAAAAAGGGTAAGTTTCTGTTTTTTTAAAGAAGTTGAGCTTCGATTATGTTAAATACAATAGTGTTAGTGCTGAAGCCAAGTTTTCTATGTTTGCTGATGATGTTTTTAGTGCTTTTAATAGATGCTTTCCAGAGAAAAAAGTCCTTATAAAGTCCAATCAAAATAATAATAACAACAATAAGTGGTTTACTACAGAAATAAAAAATATAAGAGAGCATCAACACTTTCTAGATGAAATATGTAAACGGACACTAAGCAAGGAATTATTACAACAAAAAAATATTTTTAGATGTACATTAGGGTGTCCCTTATTTTTATTTTTTTTACGCATACCCTCTAATTATATTTATTGCGTGTTTATATACTTCCAGTAAAAATTTCAGCTCATTCTATAAACGGGAACCCGTGCCGACTTGCATCTGAACCCTCCGTTAGCCAACGTTAGGCGCGCGGTATTTTGTAACACGGTTGGTCGCGAGGTCTTCGATCGTAAGTCATTTTGTGTTTGTTATTATGTGACCCTTATATTATAAATTATTGACAAATGTTAAAATATAGTTTTATTTATGTGTATACTTTGATAAAAATATATATTTTCACAGGGAGTGGCTAGTTACCCGGAAGGGTCTGGTGAATAGGCCGTAAACTCTGAAATTGATAAACTTAATGGGTTTTACTCTAAATAACTAAAAGAGTCTATTGTGAGAGATGACTACCGAAAACTTATTAAACTGTCTGAAATAATTTTGGGAGGACATCAAGAAAAGAAATGCTTATAAAAAGCTGAAATTTCATATAACAGTATATTTTAGCAATACTAATTAGTATATTAATATATTTAAGGGATAAAATCAACTAAATTAGTGAAACAAATGATAGAAACAAAATCAATAATATCATTTAGTAATCATATTTAATAAAATCATTAGAAAAATACAGTCATGAAGTATATCTTCTTTTTAAAGTGTTTCGTGTTACAAAATACCGCGCGCGCATAACGTTGGCTAACGGAGGGTTTAGATGCAAGTCGGCACGGGTTCCCGTTTATAGAATGAGCTGAAATTTTTACTGGGAGTATATAAACAAGTAATAAATATAATAAGAGGGTATGCGTAAAAAAAAATAAAAATAAGGGACACCCTAATGTACATATAGAAAAACAATTAATAATGCAAAAAAAGTTTATAATGATAGAATAATTAAGAACTCTGAAAACTCTGTCAGGAGCATGTGGAACATTATTAATAAAAGCAGACATGAACAAAAAGCAGAAGTTTCCTGTACTATAAATGCAGAGGAGTTTAATTTGTTTTTTGTAAATATAGCAAAAGATTTAATAAAAGACATTAATGTCAACCAGCAAGCATGCAATCCTTTTGAAAATTTTGAATACGTATCAGTACCAAATACAGACTTTAACTTTTCTCAGGTCTCCTTTGTTGAAGTTATGGACTAAAAAATAGTAATAGTAAAGACCTATCTGGGTTTAATTCAAATCTTTTAAAATCCATAAAATATCTCATTGCTATTCCAATGACAAAATTAATTAATGCTTGTTTTAAGGAGGGTACATTTCCTAGCGTGATGAAGGAGGCTCTGGTGGTGCCCATACACAAGAAAGGCGAGGTGAATAATAAAAATAACTACAGACCAATATCTCTCCTACCGATATTATCAAAAATCATTGAAAGGTGTATGGCTTTGAGAATCTCACTGCATTTTGAATCACATTTAGTGTTTTCACAGTGTCAACATGGGTTTCAAAAGAAACACAGTACTACTTCAGGTATACTTGATTTAACATCAAGTATCCTGGAAGCTTTTGAAAAACTTGAATATAACTACACAATATTCTGTGATTTAAGTAAAGCCTTTGACTGCATCTCTCATGACTTGCTTATACAAAAGCTTATTGAATATAAGTTCTCTGAAAGTGCTTTTAAACTTATTGATTCCTATCTCGCCGATAGAGGCTAGGTATGTCGGGTAAATGGAGTAACGTCTTCAAGGAGAATAATGACAATAGGGGTACCGCAGGGCTTTAATTTTTATTAATAACTTACCATACCATCAAGCAATGATAAGTCATATTCTCTTTGCGGACGATACAACAATCTCGGTGAGGCACAGAGATTTAGAGGCTCTTAAGAGACAGGCCAATGAGATTCAGTCAAGGGCCAAAAACTGGTTCCTGAGCAATAACTTACTGTTAAATGAGGATAAAACAAACGTAGTTGTATTCTCGTTGAGAGAGCATGACATTGGTCTTCGGAGTGCAGTGAGATTTTTGGGAGTTCATATAGATCCTAAATTAAAGTGGGATACCCATATCAATAAAATATGCAAAAAGCTTTCCACAAATATATTTATAATTAGAAATTTAAATGTTTCAACCAACGTTTTAATAACTGCATATTACGGATTATGTCACTCGATAATGTCATATGCTATATTGATATGGGGTAATGCAGCAGAAGCTCATAAAGTATTCATATCTACATATAGTTCTTATCCAAAAAGAGTATTTTCTAAAATCTAATTTTTAACTGGCGCAGAATCTTGGAGTTATTCTTTCTTTGCAAAGAAAATACTGAAAGTTAATATAATTTTACAAATACATAATAATATATTAAATAATATGTAAGAATTTTATTATTAAAAAATCTTTGACGTTCATTATCTCGGATTTAAGGTTTTACTACTTATGACACTGTTGTCGCCCATGTGCTATATGTCTTTTTTGTGTTCTAAATTTAGATCTTAAGACACAAAAAATACATTATTTTTTGAAAATAGGATAAAGTTAGCTTGACACTAACAGAAAATTAACCTTAATTACCTATTTCTATCAAAGTCAAGTGGTGGGACTTTGATGTTTGGAGTAGGGTTGGGACAGTTTCAAACTTGAAATATTTCATTTAGTTGGAAAAGTGAAATTTTTGAAAATTTATCCGAAAATTTCAACATTGCCTGTGAAAGTTTACGAATTTCATTGAAAGTTTCGCAATTTACTGAAAATTTCGCATAAATTTCACATGCGGCCTCCCCTGGGACCTTTAATTGTATAAACTAATTTAAATAATTTAATTCAGTTACCAATTTAATTTGTAAATTAAATCAGACTTTAAAATTTTTTTAAAAGTCATGATTAATTTAAACTTTTACTTTTGATATAATTGCATCGGAAAACGGATAAAAAATGCCTTTGGCTCATAAAATTTTGATGAAGTTTCTTCAATTTTCGTAAAATTTCAAAATATTTAAAAATAATAAATATATAATATATATTAATATAAAACAATGAAAGTGGCACAATCTCATTAGCTTACCAAAAAGTGCTATATCTCTTTTAGTTTAAGTAATTTTAAAAATATTTTAAAAGGAAATCTCAAGAAATTTGTGGTAAACATAGGTACCTATTTACTATTTATATTATTGGTGCAGGGGCCCACAGAGGGGTAGGAGGTAAGAGAGGCAATTTGCCATGGTCCCCGAGTGGGCTTATTTCAATATTAATATACCTATTACACTTAAAGTGATTGAAATTTATTGAAAGTTTCAATAAATTTCATAAATTTCATGAAATTTCAGAAATTTAGGAAACTTTAATAAATTCCATAAATGTCATGAAAATTTCGAGTGAAATTTTCCCAACCCTAGTTTGGAGCATAGTACATACATGAAAGCAGACAATTACAGCAAGCTACAAGTGTTTTTTTTGTATTTATGATTTTGTGAACTTGCCCCCTTGACGTCCATGGCAAAGATATGCATATACCCTATTTGAATTATTAATACAAACCTCAGTTTCAATTAATTTGGCTAATTGGTCCACGCCTTTGTTTAAAAAATTTTGTATAATTAATAAATATTTTTCTTGTATTTCTGTAGTTACAGAAGTAGGATCTCGATATAAATATCCTCCCACTATATTAAATTGGATTTTTAATGTAATCACCAACATTACTATTGAATAAATAAAAAGTCCTGTTTTAATAAACACTAATACCTACAAAAAATATTACCTATTATTATTAGTATTATTTAAAGTAGTTTCCAATAATTACTTTTAGGTTATTCCACATTTCTAATTTATTTTCTGGATTACTCTTAAGAGCCTCAATAATTTTATCAGTATCTGCCTTTTTCAAAACAATTTCCATCAAATTAGTAGCTAAATTTAATATGGTCTGGTCAGAGGTTTTTTGAATGCTTTCAAAATGATTTTTCTTTTTATTTTTGTCCAAAAATGCAAATGTTTCATTTTCTTGCCAATGCTTAAGTCTTTGCTGGGCATATTTTGTTAAGATTAAAGATCCTGATAAAAGAAAACCACCAACTAAAAACTTTGTTTTATGTCTTGAAAAGAAGTCTTTTATTTTGGAAAACACAGACATTTAAATTAATGTGCAAGTCACACTATATTAAAGCACAGAACACAATCATAAAAGTTTTATGATAAAACAAATACCTAATTATTAATTAAGTTTTGTATACAAACTTTGTATTTGTATTACAAAGTTCATTTTTTCTTTATTTACAGCGTTGCCAATAGTTCTTAATAAAATTCCTGGCAAAAAATATCATCATTATAATACTGGCAACGTGAATGCTTGATTCCAAGAATTTTTAATTTTTACAATCTTTAGGTTTCTAGCAAAATGGCTTATTTCAAAAAACAAAAAAATATTTTTTAATTTTTTTATTCACACCAAATGATTTATCCAATACCTATATCTTAATTTACTAAAATTTTCGATAATTTCACTTTTTACATTTGACAACACGAGTCGTGTTACACGACTCTGTAACAGAGACTCTGTTACAGAGGCTCTGTTGTTCGACCAATCGGCAGTCCCGCCCCACCCGGTAAACGTAGAGATGGGCCATTCTGTAAGGTGGGCCATAATCATTATTTAAGAAACACATTTCTTGCATAATGGGCCATGATGTCCCGGCCATCTTAGATGACTTATGATAAGTCACTTATCTAAGATGGGCATTTTCACGGATTATAAACGATAAGTGAAAAAACATAATTATTGTATTTTAACTAACATAGTAAATTAATTAATTTCTGGCAAATTCCTGCCATTTAAAGTCACCTGGCAAAATTACTGGCAAGGAGCTTTATTCCTGGCAAATGCCAGTAATTACTGGCAATTTGGCAACGCTGTTTATTTATGCAAGGATTATATACACTGTTGCCAGTGTTGGTACTTTATTAGGTACAGTTGCGGACAAAAAGTTTTGGGCACCATTTGACATTCACTGGAACTGTGCCAGTGGCACTTGCGGTAAACAACACTGGTAACCTTAAATTTTATATGTGTCCTTTGACATAAACCTACGTACTTACATAAGACCTTGCTAGCTAGTTTTAAATAAAAAAAAATGGTAGCACAACGTGACGCAACCGTGACGATTTGTGTCCAATTGGACACAATGGACACAAATCGTCACGGTTTCGTCACGTTGTGCTACCTTGGATTTTTCCACCAATATTAACGATTTATAAAACGTAAAATTTTAATAATAATTATTAAAGGTAGAAAGTAAGGTTAGAAAGATTTGAAAGAAGTTACATTTTTTGATTGGGCCAAAGAAGTAAACTCCCTGGCTGTCAAAAAACACAATCCAATTAGTTTAAATCATTTTTAAGCGCCTAGGCTATAATCAATCACTTAAGTAACGAGTCTTGACACCAATAACGTTTAAATTATAGACCGATTAAAGATAAAATTTACCACCACAACAAAGAAATTTTAATGAAAAACTCAATCATAGTGGTATTTTTAGTTTCGGTATTCATTAAAATATTCTTATATTACAGAATGTTCTAGGATGGTTTACGTTGTTGCCACATTTTATTCGTATAACTTGAATACCGATACAAAGTGTTTCGTATTTGTACCAAAGCGAATAAAACAGTGTGGCCAACTTAGGGGTTTTCCCCATAAATTTGGGGAAAAAACTTTTGGGGGGAAAAAATGCTCGTAGAGGAGTTTATAGTATATATAATATATAATTATATGAAAAAATGCAGTAAAAATGCACTGGGTGAAGTATTTTACACTAGAGATAAAACATCGGTAAATATGGAACGCACTATGATATCGAAACATTTCAGACCGAATCACGCCAGCCGAACTTGTGTGACATCGTCACATGTGCACACTTTAATATCAAATTGGTAGGTTTGGTTTACATTTTTCATTAGGAAAAAGTGATTTTTCTTAAGCTGGATTTATAGTTTTAAATGTAGCGGTAGCGGTGAAATGTAAAGCATAATTTATAGATTGCCTTCCTTCCTCCCGTAGAAGATGAAGAATACGAAAACCGTAGTCCTATTTATAGATTCCCGTACCCTAAGAATGCCCTCCCGTAGAAATTTTCAAGTTTTATCTTTCACCGTTCATATATATATCTATAGATGCGAAATACGAAAAATGTTTTTATTGGTCAATTTGATTTGGCAGGAAAAGCGTTTTGACGTTTCGACAGATCCTGCGAATTCGCAAGATTTGAAATCTGGGGGGCTGAAATCTTGAGATTGAAGATTTTGCGAAAATCGCACGATTTTGTCGTAATGCGCATGCGCATTAATTAATTCTGTCTTCATTTCAACCATATACCTATAAACCATATACCTATAACTTATAGGTATATGGTTTCAACAATAAATAAGCGCAATTGCACGCCTTCGTCGCCAATGGTATATTTGCCACTGGTATAATTGTTCATCCATAATAAAAACACAAAGTCTTAATTTACATTTACATTTAAAAGTTTTATGATAAAACAACAAATAGAAAATTTTAATCACGTATGGCAAATATCGCCTGGGGAGAAAATTAAGTCCCTAAAATACCATGGCAAATATCACCTAGTGAGAAAAAAATGTCCCTAAAATAGTTCGCATCTATATGAAATAGAAGTTGCGAAATGTGAATATTCGTATTTTGTATTTCGCATCTAAAACCGCTTTTAAACCCTTAAGGTTTTACCAACGAAATCCATAACAACTTAACTTTTAACAACAAATTATAAGATAACGAAAACTCAAGGAGAGTCTTTTACCCTCCTTAACGAAAATTACATCTTTTCTTCCAGCATGAACCAGGCTTTAATAGTAACTATACGGTAGACTCTACCGTAGTTTATGATTCATAGACCGTCTATGGTTGGCAACCATTGGCTATTTGTTACATAATATGTAATATATTATATAACTTATATTCATTGGTTCAGTGTTGCCGATTTGCGGATAATTTTGCGGGGTTGCGGATCACTTTCTAACCCTATTATAAATCAGATAATTTTGGAGGATTTCGTCCAAAATATTTTAGTATATACTTTTTCAAAGAACAATGGTATTTATAATTCTGGAGTTAAAGAAAAAAATTGTGGCAACACTGTAATTTGTAAAAAGTTAAAAACTGGACAAACATTTATTTTTATTTAAGTGGTAACACTGCCAGGCTGGCACCGACAAAATGGAGAATTGTCTATTAAAATTAAAGGTATTTTTTTTAAATTTATTTATTTTAGGCATAAATATATGAGTATAGAAGTTTAACCCATTTTTTCAACTCCCACCTTTAAAACGCCCATTATCGTACATGTTTCCATGACACTAAGTGACCTTTTAAATACACATTAACAAGTTGTGGCTTTATGGCGTTTTAGTCACGGGCTGAAGTTAGCAACAGGTTTTTAGTCACGGGCTGAATTAAGTTTTAAGTTAGTTGACAGTTGTCAAATGTCATACAATCATTAAAATAAAGTGCCTTTCTTGTAAAATAATACTAAATGTGAAAATTATTTTATTATCTCAATACAAAAATAAAAAGGTATTAAATAGTTTCTCAACGCCAATATTTGAAAAGTTTATATGAACATTGTACTGACCTTTTAATTTCGCCGGCAGTAAGCTATAACTTAAATTCGCGCCCGCGGGAACGGACTCCACTGTAAAGTGCTCATAAAACATTTTTTTTACTTTCACTGTAAAAAACTCTCCATTTTCAAGAAATACGATTTATAATCTTTATAATCTGTGTTTATAAAACAAAGTGACTAGAAGTACACCGGGAGTACCGCTATTAAAAGTACACCGGGTGGAAAAAAATCCTTATTTAGCATATTTGTCAATTGTATAATATTAAATGGTCGCTCAATGGGGCGGGGGGCCCAATGGGGCGGGGTCGGTTGGGTTGGGTTGTTGAGTTTGGGTTGGTTTGGGTAATTCATACTGACATTTCATTAATTTTGTTGTTAATTGTATTTCAATCACTTAATTAAATTTTAATCAATGTTTATACAACTTGAAAGTTAGCTTAATAATTACATAATTAATATCAAGAGTTAACCAGCTCTTTACCAACTGTTATACAACTGGGCCTTAGTGTACCAATTGACCATATGCAAGGAATGCGGTCGATGTTGCCAATGGTAAAAAAATAAAATTCCCAATTGGGTACATTCAATTATAATATGTTGGCTACACTGAAATTTTGAATTTCCCGCACAAACTAACATACATTCTAGTAGTTCCCAGAGATAAAGAAGGTAGTTCCAATGTTGTAAAATAAATTAAGGTGCAAATTTCAAATGTGGGAATTATTATTATTTATTATTATTAAAAAAAAAGATGGAAATTAATTTAGTTTGTGCGGGAAATTCAAATTTTCAATGTAGCCAACGTAATATAATTGAATGTTCCCAATAGGGAATTTTATTTTTTTACCATTGGCAACATCGACCGCATTCCTTGCATATGGTCAATTTAATGTCAACTAATAAAACCGAAATTTTACCATCAGCTGTTATGGAAACACGCATGCGCACAAACCTGATGTACTTTTAATAGCGGTACTCCCGGTGTACTTCTAGTCACGGCGTTTATAAAATATAAAAATTTGACATTTGACGGTGACACACAGACTCCTCTATTGTTTCATAGATGGCGCTCTATAGGTTATAAACCTCGTTTAGAAAACTTTTCTATACACTAATTAATTTAAGCACTCACTCGCAAGTTCGCTCGTGCCTAAATTAAATTCGTGTATAAAATGGCGTTTATCAAACTTGATACCTAATATACTATTAAATTTCACTGTTTTAGGCTAATAGTATTAATACATCATTATTTATGCTTTTAATAAAAAGTATTTGTATCTTTGTATTTTTAAAATTGGCACCTTTTCCCTTTTAAAAAATCGGATCCTGGCGGATAATTTCAGACATGTGGGTGGATAATTTTAATATATGACATTGGTAACACTGCATTGGTTGCTAGTGGCAACACTGACTGGTTCAGAAAAATAACCAGTGGAAAAAGTTCTATATACTTGTATGTTCTATATGTTAATAACAAATTTGTTACTATGAATTGGTGTTTACATGTTTTACAAGAATAATTTGTATTTAAATTACCTATATTCTATTTCTTTGAATATAGCTTATTTTATAAGTGTTTTTTCGCATGTTTACATATTTTTAGGTAAGTTTTTTTTAAATTACCTAATTTGTACCTATTAATTTTGAATTATCTCAACACATTTTACTAAATACCTGGGTGTTAATATAAAACATTGTATAGCTTAATATAAATTACACGTAGTCAAAATAAAAATTGTACACATTAACATGGCGGACATGTCACAGATATTGTTGATTTCTTACAAATCATAGATTACAAACAAACTACACATTGAGTCAAAATAGTATATGGTCCCAGAGCCCTTATATTCACGTCACAAAAATAAGATTATGGTAATTTAAAATCATAAAATAAATAACAAAATAGATAAGCAGGCAATTACAATGGCAATCATGGCATACCTATCATAGGCATATCAAAATTTAATATTGACAATATTATTGAACGTGTTAGGGCCCCTTAGGGAGTACCCTGTATTATACAGGATGTAAGTATATTAGGGCGGATCAAAAATTCTTGTTTTTCAAAAATTTTTAGTAATTGTACCGAATAGTTGGGTATGGTGATTATAAACAAAAGTTACTTAAAATTTTTAAAATCGGTCCCGCCACGCCCTTATTATTTAATGACTTTAATTTTTTTGTTAATATTGTATATTGTTATGACTAGGGATCAGATTTTTATTTAAGTAAATACCTATTTATGAATATAAATGCAAATTAAAATGTTTATAAATAAATTATTTATACATATACAAAGCTGTCTTAGAGCGTACTGCCTTTGATTAAATACTAGTTTTTTACATACATAAAAATGCAATGTTTTATGTTTTTACGAAATAAAAAATATACAAAAATATCAAAGAATTAAAGTTAAAAAACCCACTTTTTAAGTGGTTTAAGTGGGTTCTAACCAAAAAAGCCCACTGGGTTTTTTTGGGTTACCCACTAGGTAGCCAACCCTGTTTTGTGTAGTTTGAAGAGCCTTAAGATCCCTTTTAATTGCATGTCCCCAAAACGCAGGAAGGTACATCAAGTGGAAGCCAATGTATGCATTATAGACTAGATGTTTTGTTTTGTTATTTAATGATGTTGAGTTCCTACCTATTGTAGAAATTTTTGTTTTTAAAGCTTTTGTGTTCACTAAAATTTAAGCAATTGACTAAATTTAATCCTAGATACTTAGGACTATGTAGGGTAAACTGTCCAACAGTGAACCACAAATGTTTAAAATTAACATATATAGCAAAAAAGCCATACAAAATTCTGCAAATTTTCATGGACACTTTCTAGGGTATTACTAACACGTTCCTGTGCAATTTGTTCTGAAAGAGTTAATATATCAACTTTTATGCTTATACATTTTTTTTTCTGTTTGGTGGGTCACTGTGTACCTTGACTCTTCTGCAGTGAACCAGGTGATAATTACACAGTGCACCAGGGAATAAAATAAAAGTCGCATGTAGTAAAATATTTTAATGGGTATACCTATAGATATCTACAAGAACAAACATGTGAGTTTTCAAGAAAACAAATATATGTGGTTAAAATACTTAGAAAACACACAAGTACAAAACTTAAACGAAACACAAACCTTATTTTTAAAATTTTAAAATAAAATTTAAACTAAAGCCTGAATTATAGATTGCCTTCCTTCCTTCCTCCCGTAGTCGTGCCCGTACGAATTGTGCGTCTTGTAAAAAGTCAATTTATAGATTTCCGTGTAAAATTCCGTAACCATGCGCGATGACACCTAAATGGTTGACATTTGTTTTTGTTTATATTCTGCGTTTTACCCATTGTGTATGGCGCGCCGTTTTACTATTTAATGTAACTAGCATATTAATTTAATAAAAAGTAAAACGGCGTACCTAAAACACGCGCCAAATTACTATTTAATAATATTCCACTGTAAGTTACATTAAAATTAGGTACTATTAATAGCAAATTAAAGCGGGATTTTGCATCAAATTTAAAAAATATAATATAATATATAATATATTATATATTATATATATATAGGGTGTCCCGGAAAATGTGGGAAATCTCTCGGATTCATATAGAACATTAAAAAATAAGATGACAAGTTCCCATATTTTTTTTTCCTAGCGGCCCTCCCTACGGAGATACGGCCTCCTAAAGGACGCCACTGGAAATCAGATTTTCTTGAATAACTTTTAAACTACTTAATATAATTTAATGAAAATTTAATAGGATAAACAGTAGTAAGGACCTCTTAAAATACTGTCCTTAAAACATAATTAGCTTGTTTAGTTTACCAGGGGCGGACTAGGTTGTACATTTTAATGCTTACATTTTTAACACCCTGTATGATAGGGAGTTAAAAAAAATAAATTTGGATACCTTGAACATTAAGCTAAAGAAAAGGTACTCTTGTTTATTGTCCATAAAATGAACCGTTTTCGAGAAAAAAAATAATAAAGAATTAATGTTTTATTTTTATTAAAAAGAACCATGATTTCTAATTTTTTGTCTGCAACAAAGTGTGATACGAAAGTCATTCAAGAAACAGAAAAGTTTTAGTTTAGGTTATTTAATCCGACAAAATTACAAGATTCTTAAAAATTCAGTCTTGTCCCAGAAAGGCACCTTAACAAAAATTATTTTTAGAAATATGTTTTTCTTGAAATTATTTAAAAAACAACCTTAAAAAATAATGTACAGAAAAATTAAATTAGAAATAATCAATTAAAAACTTCATAAGCGTGTTCAATATGGGCTCCGTGAACTCTGATACACTCGCGGGCACGACGAATAGAGGACTGCTGTACTCGCCACAACAACCCAGCATTGTTCCTTATCGCATCACAATGAAATGTGATTCTCTGTAAAAGTTCCTCCCTAGTATCAACCGGAGAGGAATACACCAAGGTTTTGAGATGTCCCCACAGGTGAGTCGGGAGAGCGTGGAGGCCAGGCAATGGGACCTCCTCTGCCTATCCAACGGTTTGGATAGACGTTATTCAGATAGTCCCGTACAGCAACGCTAAAATGAGGTGGGGCTCCATCATGCATAAAATACATGCGCTGGCGGGTTTCAATTGGCAAATGCTCTATTGAATCCAGAAAAGCATTCTGAAGGAACTGTAAATAAATTTCACCATTCAATCGTGGCGGCAATACGCATGGTCCAATCAAAAAATTGCCAATTATTCCTGCCCAAACATTAATTGATTGGAACTGATATTGATAATGATGAACAACAGTGGCATGAGGGCTTTTATCAGCCCATACATGCGAGTTATGTAAATTTACAATACCATTTTTGGTAAACCCTGCTTCATCGGTAAAAAGAATAGAGCTAATGAAGTTTGGATTTGTCCATTGCTGATCTAACATCCAGTTTGCGAACTGGATTCTACGAGGAAAATCTTGAGGAAGTAGTTGATGCACTTTTTGCAAATGATAAGGTTGTAACAACTGTTCTTTAAGTACTTTATGAATTATCGTTTTTGACGTATGAAGCTGCGAGGCTAATCTTCGAGTGCTTATTGAAGGAGTATCAGCTACACTATCCAAAATATTTTCCTCCAATTGCACCGTACGTACTGTTATTCTCACACCAGCATCAGTACTTGTTTTCCCAAAACTTCCTAAAAATTATTAAAGAAAGTCAATAATGTTGCCTTATTAACTGAGAATCGCCCACCACTGGTGGGCCACCAGTCTCTCTTAGACGTTGATCAAGTCGCTGAAATGTTTTCTGATTTGGTATATTGCCATCAGGATATCTTTCTTCATACAACCTTCTTGCTTCCAAAGCATTGCAAGATGCAAGCCCGTACATAAGATGCATATTTGCATACTCACTAAATGTGTATCCCATTATTTAATTAAATTTACCAAGATATTCAAAATTCAATAAATTAATATCGAAGTAAAGGATCAACGTGCTAACAATATGAAAGATGACAAGATTTAAAATACACACGTCAATGCAAGATATTTATTATTTCGTAGGTACCATAATAACGTTTGTAAAAACGGTGCGTTTTTTAATGCTAATGACAGTTTTATTTCAATTACTTTCAAATCACACTTTGTTGCAGACAGTGTTAGAAAACAACATTTTTTCTACAAGCGTGCGGAAAGTGTCTACAAGCAGAGAATCTCGAAATTTTCTTTATCGGTTTCCATTTTAAGTTTTATTTTTTTTTGTTTCCACACGCATAATCGTGCGGAAAGTTGCACTTTTCCGCTTGTAGAAAAAAATTAGAAATCATGGAAATCATGGTCTTTTTAATAAAAATAAAACATTAATTCTTTATTATTTTTTTTCTCGAAAACGGTTAATTTTATCGACAATAAACAAGAGTACCTTTTCTTTAGCTTAATGTTCAAGGTATCCAAATTTATTTTTTAACTCCCTATCATACAGGGTGTTAAAAATGTAAGCATTAAAATATACAACCTAGTCCGCCCCTGGTAAACTAAACAAGCTAATTATGTTTTAAGGGCAGTATTTTAAGAGGTCCTTACTACTGTTTATCATATTAAATTTTCATTAAATTATATTAAGTAGTTTAAAAGTTATTCAAGAAAAACTGATTTCCAGTGGCGTCCTTTAGGAGGCCGTATCTCCGTAGGGAGGGCCGCTAGGAAAAAAATTTAAGGGAACTTGTCATCTTATTTTTTTATGTTCTATCTGAATCCGAGAGATTTCCCACATTTTCCGGGACACCCTGTATATATAATGCAGGAATAATAACAATACCTAGGCACAAATTGCTTATAAAATATAATCTATTGCATTTGTAGTTTTACGTTTTTAACAGAATTGCAAAAATAATTTAAAAAAAGAAATTCAATAGAAATAAATTTGTTCACTTAAATAAAATTTAAGGAACAACTCATAACTTTTTTGGTAACAGTCGCTTATTGCAAAAATAAATTCTTACAATGGGCTGGGCTTTTTTTTAATTGGTGTGTATTGCAGAAATGAATTTTTGCAATTGTAATGTATTGTAGAAATGCATTATTGTAATTGTCGCGTATTGTAGGATTGAATTTTTGCAATTGTCTTGTATTAAAATTTAATTA